GGACTCATCAGTTGGAGATAGCCTGAGTTGGGCTGGAACTCAGAGCCTAGTGGCTCATGGTTGACGCCATAAGCACTATGCCACTGAGATCCACGAGCAACGCTTGTGTGCAGGCAGCACCCGAAGTAGCGTCCTCACCGGCTGTAAGGTAGGTCCTAACACCGCGTTCAAGAAATCACGAAACTCCTTATGCTAGCAGCATTCTACGTAGAGTTCCAAGTGCCCCACCTTCTCCGTCCACCATGCACTTTTGACTCGACGGAGCTCCTGAGTCAAGCATACCCTTCTCCGAGTTGCCGCAACCACTCCCCATGCACAGCAAATACCACATTTTTCTCTTACATCAGTACGCTAGTGGTCGCACTGTTGTCATCAGGCAAATCGGGCCGCTAACAGTTTGCGCGGTCGATCATCTTCTCAGCCGCAATGGTCACTTGCCCTTTAAGGTGGTACCGTAGGTCGTTGACTGAAACAATGGAGTCGAAATCACCAAGATGGGTTGCCATCGCATTCATCAGGAACATAATTTGTAAGCTGTCCACAAAATTAGAATTACTGATGAATTGTTGGATACCACATAAGTTTTATTACCTAGGGACATGCTATCGAAAAAATCTACAGTTGGTCAGGGCTCTGCGCACCCACGCATCGAGGACGCGTGCTGAGTTTTACACGCTGTAACGCCGGGTGTGGAGAATCATCAGGTGACCTTTGGAATCAACTTACTGGTTAACGAGTCGATTTTACTCACGGTTTTTCTCTACTGCAGCGAAACATGAACACTGTACCTAAAGAATACTCTATATCTGAAATGATTTTATCAGCAATGCTTATTTCGGATAATACGCATCTGTTAGTGTGATACAGTCCCTGACACTGTAGTGATCAATCGCAGCAGCATGTATGGGATAGGTTGCACGCTTTTACTACGACACTTGAGGTGGCTCGGACATGTCTGTCGTATAGGTATATCCAGTCTGACACCGGTTACACCTCCATTCCACTGGCATTTCTCATGCTCCACAGCCTGCTCCCGACTTGTGAGGCATACTCTCTGGCGGAGTAGGCTGGTTTTCGCCCCGGTCGAGGAAGTTTGAATCAAACATTCATGCTCTTTTAGTTTCCAGAACATCGTCGCTTCTGTCGCAAATCTCGATTGTAGCCCAGCTGGACATTCGAGTAGAACTCGACTCACGTGTTGACTACAAGGAATGTTGTTTCCGAGGCGTACATCGTTATTCTTCAGGTAGTGGTAGCCTGCGGTAAGCTTTATACATACTTTTCTATCATTAGTGGTGTGCGACAAATGTGCCATATATCTGCTGTTGGGAACTTTAGAAGCTTTCCACAACTGGAACTAAGTCCCTCTCGAGTAACCACGCAACCGAGATGGATTACGGTGGTGAGATCACATTGCTTGGTATTGCCTCTCATTCTATGTATTTGACCATTAGCCGATTGGTGACTGAAATATGGTATGTCATTTGCCCTGACACACGCGTCTCCTTCTTTTCTTGAAAGCTTCCTCCCCACTTGGTCAGATCTAGGTGCAGTACCATCGTTCATCATTGCTTTTGTTCCTACAATCTATCACGACGTCTGAACTTAACTTTATCACTTGCAGACACACGCACACACACATAATCGCACATCAACACTTGGTAGGCTTGCCCAGTTAAATCAGGAAAATTCATCGATATATAAGCTCTGCACTCGGGGTGTGGTATGGTGATGAGCATGCGTTGGCTTTTGTTTATCGAACAATCTAAACTTGGTAACTTGTGTGGAAACGTGTACAACATGTGCACCGCCTTTTACTATGGCTGGCCACACCACAGCACGCATGTAGCTAAAGATAGACTCTGTGATCACGAAGCGATCTTTCTACTATGCAAGTGATGTCTCATTGCTCGAAATACTGGCGATTTTCGTCTCGTTTCACGTGGTTTCCATCACTGAATTGTACTGGATGCGTGAAAATTAAGAAAACACTAACTCTGCACTCTGGGCAGTTCCAGCTTGATAAACACAGTGAGAAGACGAAAATCGGCAGATGCATGCATTTCGTACCGTCTCTTTTGTGTCGAAAACGATAACTGGAGGTGAACTAATACTCAAGTGATGCAAACGTGAAAACAAACGAACGAAAAAATGAGAATCACGTCTTTATGTCCAAGTCAACCTGAAGCTGACCGATAGTTGCTTTTGAACACAAAGCTCCGGTTTGTCACAACAACTTCAGCGAAGCGGAGGAGACGGGAACTGATATGCTGCAGCAGAACTTTGAATGACGTGGTGACCTTGATCCGGTGATCTGAGATTGACAAATGCTTACCGATCGAGCGGCAGGCAGCACATCGTTCAAAGTTCTGCTGCGGCATACCAATTCCCGTCTCCTCCGCTTCGCTGAAGCTGTTGCGATAAATTGGAGCTTTGTGTTCAAAAACAACTCTCGGCCAGCCTCAGGTTGCCTTGGGCATAAAGACCTGATTCGCAGTTTATCCTTTCGGTCGTTTGCATGTTTGCATCACTTGAGTATTAGTTCACTTCCAGTTATCATTTTCGGCGTTAAAAAGACGATACAAAGTGCATGCATATGCCGATCTTCCTCTTCTCACTGTGTTTTTCAAATTGTTAAGGGGAACTAACCGCTTTAAATTCCAGCTTGGTATTTTTTGGTAGATGGGTGAGGACAAAGCGGATGCTCATACCTCGTCAATGTTCGTGTGTCTTTTTGAACCTGGTCTTACGTCGCACGTTTAGGGATCCCACTATGGTGTATTGGTACAAAGACGACATATAATATAATATGCTACTACTAACTGTGTCCATCTTTGGCACAGGTCATACTTCACAGAAAATGTCATGCTTATGCATAAATGATATACAGTTATGTGATTTTCATTGTCTTTGCTGTTTCAAGGGCATGCATTTACTCACAGGTGTGCTTGAACGCAATGTACACTAGTTGGAATGGTGGATGATAACAACATTAAGGATTTATCACACTGCGTGAAAATGTTTCTGTTTTACCCATCAGATATTGTCTGGCTCTTCTTTGAACAAGTCATCAAGTGATCTCCACCAAGAGAACAGGGTCATAGCCGGGTTCAAATCTAGGTACTTGGTGAGCTTAACGCGTAAGGCAGTTGCGTTCTCACACGATCTGATTGCGACTGGGAGCTTATTCCACTGGACAGCATATCTGATAAGGAAAAAGTTCGACCGCAGCTCTATCCTGCACTTGGGTACACTCAGGGCAAACTTCTTATTGCGTAGCTCCCTTGTCGAACCTGTTACCAGATCAAAAGGAAAACTGGAGGCTAACATTCAGTTGAAGTAGAGCCATCATTTTATTTCGCCGCTGGCCGAAAAGATGAAACGACCTCCCAGTGCTTCCGCGGACATCGACGGTCATCTGCTTCTAATGAGTACCATCCGAAACGAGTGAACAGAGACCATTAACTCTTGGTGCACATACAACGGGTGTTTCAAAATGACCCGCCTTCCAATCAGTCATTAATCGTTGTGACAAGTGTTGTCCAAGGTGAACCGGTAAAGGCTTCAACTAACATCCCAATGGTTCCGGATTCGATTGCCTGTTAACTCTACCTGATGAAATCATGTGAGGTCGAAACGCGCCATGGAGTGCAGTGTTTTCGTGCGGACAACACTCAATAACCATCTTTTTCATTAGTTACGGTTCCAGTGATCGAAATGATCAAGGTTTACTTCAACTCGAATCGCGGCCCACATTCAGATTGCGCGTTACAATCCAATCACACAAGCGCTACAAAATGATCACTCTAATCAGTCACCAACTGTTGTCACAATCGTTGCCCACAGCGACTCGGTGACTTACGGGTAGTGTGCTTCAAAGTGACCCCTTTTTAACGCTTGGTACCTCTGCAATTGACCCCAGCCAACTTTGCTAATGTATCTGTCTAGGAGGAACCTAGGGATTTTAGCCCTAGAATCATGGTTGGCGGCATCCGGTTTCGGATTTGCCTGTCACTGTGACCAGCCACAGGACGCCTGCGCCTACAGAGGGACCATGGATGGTTTGAGCTGCACCACTCACAGCTCCAACCACACACCCCATATCCAGTACAAACCCGAAGGAATAAGATAGGAAGGCATGTGGATGGGAGCCATGTTTCATCTACGGAGCCGGCCCACACTCCTTCGCAGGCAAACACAAGCACGCTGTATTTGGGGAATCAAGTGCACACAAGGCGGTGGCTGGACCGTAGTCCGCTCCACACTGAGTGCATGGAACCACTCTTCGAGCCTAACACGGCCAGAAGGACCGTGCACCCCATCCATCCAGCAACGACCAACTGTCTCCTGGAGCCAGTATGGACGAGGTAGTGGGTAATAGACAGGTAGGCACCTTGTCAACGTGCACATCAAGCGCAGCCACACCGGGGATATCAAGCAACAGTCCATCACTTGAAACGACAAGATGAAATAAAATAGATCCAACAATGCATACAGATACGGTGGCATAACTCTTATCTAAATTAGCGTATGAAGTAAGGTGGTTGACAACGAATCCGCGATAAGTAAAAAATGTCCACAAGTTACTTAAAAATGCTACAAACGCAACAAAATTGCCGAAGATAAGCGCAGTTCGCGTAAGCAACGTGGCCAGTTCCTAAAAGATTATTCAGCTAAGCAGAACAAACAAAATAACGTGGAATGAAATTTAGCCCGCTTAAAAAGACCTAGTTTAAGTGTAAGTTGGTTTAGCCCTAGAATCATAAATGTGAACTAATCACCAACTTACCCTTGCCGATTTGTCACCTTATCTTCTCTCTGCTTATATTACTATGATGTGCGCTTATTGTCATAAAGCCTTGCGGCTCCGCACCATTGCGGAGTGCAAGCGAAACGCGTATGGTGTCCGTTCTCCATGTGTCTCATTATCCCCATTACTTGATCCTTTTGATGGCGGTGATGTAGCGTAATCCACAAAGTTACGAAAATTTCTCCCTGTAGGTGAATTTTCACTAAATCACCTTCACTGTCCCATGGACTGCCTTTCCTTCACAGGGAAACTACCCCAGTAATATCAGTGCATTGACCGAACTCATCGGAGAAGTACAGTGAAAGTGTTGACGATTGGTAGCTCGTCATGAAATGAACTACAACCTGACGTTGTGACTCACTCCCACTAGTTTGGAGTTCTTCAGGCAAATATTACCTCCGCCTCCACTTTTACTTCCAACTGATCTCATTTCTTTCCAGTCACCATCACAATTGCCATGAGCACCAACCACAAGGCCACTGCTTTTGCATTTACCTACATGATCTGCTCGACAGGCATCATTTTCACCAACAAACTGGTCCTCACCACCTACGCGTAAGTTGCGTTCCAATCTCTACTCTCTATTCTAGCTTCCCGTCCTTCATCTTTTTGGCATTTGCCCAGGTTAGTGTGCCGATTTTTGATCCCACTTCTGTCCAGCCACGCACATGCACACACACGTACACATCACTCTCTTTTTCCATCTTTCCAGACAGTTTTCACCTTTCTACTCATTCAGCTGTGTTTTTCTGGACACCTGCAACAAACGGAGCTGCGGCGAGCAGTTTTCAAGGTTTGCTTCGGGCTGCGACCCATTCAGAGCATGTTGCTGACACACAAACACCACTTCTTTGCAGATATTTCCTCTCGCGTGCTTCTACGCCACAGACATTGTCATGGGCATTGCTGGCACCGGTAGTCTGAGGTAAGCTGGCATAGTGGCACGTCTGTTCACCTAATAAACCCCATCCTAGTTTACCAATGTTTTCTGCGTTGCGACGGCTGTCCAATCTTTTCATTCTGATTGGAGAACACATCTTCCTCGGGTATGTCACACTCACGTTTTGTTACGAAGCAAGCAAGTTTAGTTGGACTCACTCATCCGGAACAACGTCTGCTGGCCGCTTCTCCCTATTAAGACTCATCTGCTACGCGCAGTTTCCTCAAATCCATCGGCATTTCGACTCCAAACTATCCCGCTTGGTCATCATTATTCATGATAGTGATTTCCTACGCCACTATATCACAAACTGTGATATGGCACGTCTTATTCTCCACTGTCATACACGCAACTTCCATACGGAAAACAAGGCTCATGTATTCAGCTTGACGCCGGTGTGGCGAACGTTCCATTGCCAAAAGACTTAAGGTCGTCGGCGCGCAGTAACAGGTAGTGCTTTTTGTGAACCAAGATGTTATTAGCTACAGGCCATGGCGATTGGTTGCTTCTTTGGGGTGCTTGATTAACTCTATAACATTTCAAGCAAAGTTGCATAAAAGGTCCAAAATTTTGCACAGAAAATCAAACATTTTGCAAAACCCTGCGCGATTCGCTAGCCACTAAGAGCCAACCCTCTGACCTTAAGTGTGTTCTCATTGGCCGGATGCCAAGGTTCGGTGCGTTAGTCTGGGGAGCTGAGCGCGCTGCCCGTTGACTGGGTGAGACTTGTGAATGAACCTTAAAGGCATGCACTTCGGCGATGCAATGGGCTTGTATGCGCCCCCTCACGTCGGAAACGGTGAATCACAATTGGTCTGAGAGCAATGAACAGCTGGAACATAAGCGCACGACCGAAATCATGTCTGTGATACTAACGTCCTCGGCATGCGTTCTCGCGTTCGACGGAGTATCTCATCAGACATTCGTGACCGAGTTTTGGGCGCCTTCGTCAACGGTGATGGCTGGCAACTGTGAACAACATCAAATATCAAACAGCCTACTCCTGGATTCGTCGTTCTCTTGATCAGGAGCCGAGTACTACGCAGGCGCGCGGTCGTAGGCGGATTCTTTCGGAGGAAGACGTAGATGACATCCTGGATTGGATCGCGAGGGACTCAACTCTTACGCTACGGAAAATGCGAGTACGATGACGAGCAGAAATGGACAAGGACATTTCGAAGTCAACAATCGCACGGCACCTGGATGGTCGATTGATAACTATGAAGAACATCTATCAGGTTCCCGAGGGAATGAACAATGAGCGAACCAAAGGAATACGCAGGGAATTCGTTCAGCAGTTTCTGCAACTTGAGAGCGATGGCAAGTTTTTCATTTGGATTGACGAAGCGAACTTCAACATTTACTGCAAACGTACTCGTGGTCAGGCGTCCAGAGGAGTGAGAGCCTGTTGCAAAGTTGCAAACAGTAGAGGCCTCAATTTGCATTAGATCGGTGCACTCCCAATGAAAGGGAAAGTGTCGATGACCACCCGGAGAGGCTCATTCACAGGTCCCCTATCTCTCGAATGGCTGTGAAGCTAGTTAGACAACCTGAAACGGGAGATGCAGCTCCGGCAGGTTGTCGTGGTATGTGATAATGCACCACGTCACACACGACTGGTAGAACTGTTATCAGTAGATCGATATGAGGGAGTAACCATACTGAGATTGAGCCCATACTCACGGTTCCTCATTCCGATCGAGAATGTTTGGCAGGTGGTGAAGGCCAGAGTGAAGAATGAGATGAGAGTGCACTACGAGACACTTCTAGCCGGGGATCCCCAGAAACTCATGACGCAGATGGAATGAAGGCTGCAGCTCCTTGAACGCATTGCCGGAGCAGCCACCAAGGATATCAGCGTTGTGGGATGTCGTAATGCTATTCGACGCATGCGTGTACATTTTCCTAATTGTTTAGAAAATATGACATGTTTTGATCACATTGTTCGCCTATTTTTACGTATCTGGTTGTATAGCACGTCACTAGCAGCACGTAGGGACGTATGAGTATTCACAATGTTCTCAAAATATGTATGCACATACGTAAGTTTGTGTGTTCGTACGGGGGTTGAAGCGATATCTGATGTCTAGCGCAAGGGAGTGACACGGGACCGGCTTCCAGTGAGCCATGCCCGAGTGATGTGTTCAACTTATGGTCCATTTCGTACCGGTGTTCGCTGCGCCGTACTCTTTCATGATCAGCCTGAGATAATGTAGCTACAGTTTCTTTGTTCGGAAAACTAGAATGCTTGGAAAGCGTATTGTAGGACCAAGTGATCTTTCCGGGTGAAGCAACCGTCAGATGTATCACAGTAGGGGATATCAGCGTGGATAGTTGAATAGTAGTGAATACGAAATTACTGCACACGTCATGTCAGGCTTTTCCAAGAGTGAGAGGAACTGATAAATGCGAGTTCGCAAACACGTCCATTGCCAGACAAGATGTTGTCATTGAATCTGAACGAATGAATCGCGTGTTTAATAGAAACCGTCTCTGTGCGATGTTTGTCTGCTGTATTTGAGTGCACTGGCGCGTTAATTCGTTACCCGATCGGAAGTTGGTCTGTCAAGTTCGGAACCCACATCAGCCGGTTCGGAAGCTGTACTTTAGATTTAAATGCAACCATTCCTACAGTAAGCCCAATTTAATTTGCGTGCCAGAGACGCCCGAATAGCTGTCCAGTACGACTTGGATACTGTCTTGATCGTTTGGGATGATCCCTCCTTTGACCCAATAGCGTGCGTAAACAAATGGGGGTGTAGTTGGCATGGCTACAGTGGCGTACCAACTAATTTTACTGTCCTTGGCGGACGTACAATTGCTGCCGCTCTCGCAGTTGTAAAGCACACAATTGAAATTGCCATTCAATATTTCGTTTCACATAACAACAATCACAGATTTAACTAGAGTACTGTCTTGAATGCAGCTATTTGAGTGGTTAAAATACTCGTATTCAAAATTTACAGTCAAACTTTTCGTGCACTACTTGAAGACGCTGGTATCCGAGCTGAATAAGCGCTCATCGAACGCAATTGAACATCACTGGTCGAAAATCCGGCAAAATTTGTTAGCAGCGGATATATCTTAATGTGGCAAATCAAATCGCCAACCTGGACATTGGGTCGCTACGTAGTCTCAGGAACTTATAGAGGCTTGCCAACATGTTCCGGCTGATAGCGAATACAAGGAGACTCGAAAAGACTTTAGGGCGAAACTGGTTGCTAATCTGAAAAGGGACCGAGAAGCCTGGTGGCCGAGTGGTCTGCACGCCTGGCTTGCAATCATAAGGTCACCGTAGGGGCATTAAACTACAAAACTCCAACCTGGAACGTTGCTTCCATCAACATAGTTATTGCAGTTGCAACGTGTGAACTCAGTTTAGCCCGGCCAGTCACATCGTCCACATACCGTTGGCCTCTAGGACATTCCGGTTTGTACTATGTGACACCTGTGTGCGACGCCCATGTATGTCCCTCCACCCCACTTGTCAACACAAGTGCAATCATGCGAATCGCGATGACCAAGGCTGGTTAGAGAGATTTTCAAGGGAAGGTTAGACTAGGTAAATGAAATTGGGTTGAAAATACGCAGCGTATTGGGGCCCGACACGAAGTAAAGTGAACGACGTTGAGCCAGTCCAGTCAACTTGTCCACTGCTGGCCGGGATGAACTACGGTCAAATGTTGCAACCGAAATAACGACAAAACTGCACACGTTGCTAATGGAGACACTGTCCTGTGTACGGTGTAGACAATTGTCGGTACTCGTGTAAATGCAGCAACATATTCACAGTGAACCCAAGGATCAACGGTGCGAGCTAGGGAATGCACTACAGTGAATGTGAACGGTAGTATTATTATTTACGTATCCTTGTGCGTCGAAGATATCTTCAGAGTGGGTAGTTTATAGCGTTCCGATGTTCGCACGGCTGCAGTTTGAAAACCCCAATTGTGAGAAATTTGCGGTTTCGCAAGCTACACTTCCTGAGCTCAGATAGATGACAGTAATGACTTTAAAATTCCGCTTGTCTGTATCTGATGTTCTGTCAGTACGACATTTAACGACGTAGAATCATTTCGACAAGCGCTATAAAAGTTGAAATAACGGATTCTTGCGCACCCAAGTCGTGTTGAGAGATATATGTGCCGTACATAATCCGGCTGCTTGGCAGTATTTCGCACTTAGACGACAGGCAATGACATTTGTCACAAATGGCACCAGGATTCATGCGATGATCAGTCATCATGACACTTGGTCATCCTGTCCACGGAATTGGCTCAGTGTAACACTTAGTCGACGGGATAGTCAATATTTTCGACGGACGGGGCTTTCAGACACTGTGAGCACTGAGAAGACATCCAAGATGACAAAGCAGTGAAGGAAAATAGATTCGAACCGGTGACCTTATAATTGCAAGCCAGGCGTGCAGACCACTCGGCCACCAGGCTTCTCGGTCCCTTTTCAGATTAGCAACCAGTTTCGCCCTAAAGTCTTTTCGAGTCTCCTTGTATTCGCTATCAGCCGGAACATGTTGGCAAGCCTCTATAAGTTCCTGAGACTACGTAGCGACCCAATGTCCAGGTTGGCGATTTGATTTGCCACATTAAGATATATCCGCTGCTAACAAATTTTGCCGGATTTTCGACCAGTGATGTTCAATTGCGTTCGATGAGCGCTTATTCAGCTCGGATACCAGCGTCTTCAAGTAGTGCACGAAAAGTTTGACTGTAAATTTTGAATACGAGTATTTTAACCACTCAAATAGCTGCATTCAAGACAGTACTCTAGTTAAATCTGTGATTGTTGTTATGTGAAACGAAATATTGAATGGCAATTTCAATTGTGTGCTTTACAACTGCGAGAGCGGCAGCAATTGTACGTCCGCCAAGGACAGTAAAATTAGTTGGTACGCCACTGTAGCCATGCCAACTACACCCCCATTTGTTTACGCACGCTATTGGGTCAAAGGAGGGATCATCCCAAACGATCAAGACAGTATCCAAGTCGTACTGGACAGCTATTCGGGCGTCTCTGGCACGCAAATTAAATTGGGCTTACTGTAGGAATGGTTGCATTTAAATCTAAAGTACAGCTTCCGAACCGGCT